AAAACTCATCTGTTTAGCTGTGCATTTATTGAATGAGCACTGTGCGATGTCCGAACTGATTGCATTGTATTTTATGTATAATCATTTTCTATTAAATGATCTTAAATTCATTTTAAATAAATGTTTAAATAATTTTCAGTTTTTAATTTCCTTGTTTCATTTTTTTTCATTACACCAAATACACAAAATAATGTTCTTTTTAGCAGCATCATATGACCCCTTTAAACAAATCTGAAAATTGAAAAACAGTACTAAACTTTGTCACATTAACATTACTTTAGGCTTCATTGCATTCTGCACTTTCTTTTAGAGGAAGGTTATCAATCATACAGTATGGTGAGTATTGTTCACTGGAATGTTTTTCAGCAGTGAAGTTATAAAGGAGTCTCAACTCAAGTGCTGCTGACTCATGGGTTGGATGTAATATGGCTGTTTTCATAGCTGTATCGACAGTTGCTTTCACATGGTCAGCCTTTCCAAGCCGTGTGCCTGTGTGCGCACTGTTGAGCCATTGAAATCAAATGATCAAGTGATTTAAAGAAACTGCTGGGAAACAGGGCTCTAAAATGTGTCACGTTTTGAGAGAATAACACCCCTGTAGGACCATAGACTGATGAGGAACGGCAGCCCTTCTCTGCCCTCTGTGCCATTTCTCTTTGACTTCACTCTGTTTTCTCATCAACTACCCTGTCGGTCAGCAGGAATGATAGAGATGCTGCGGAAGATAAACTTGAGTCGTGCCGTGCGCACCATGCATGAGCTGTTCCCAGAGGAGTACAACTTCTACCCACGCTCCTGGATACTGCCTGAGGAATACCAACTCTTCTCCACACAGGTACAATCTCAATGAGGGAAACTCCTCAGCGAACATAGTGTGCTTGGTTAGGACACGGTATCAATCTGTGAAATCACAAAGAGGACATTTACAGAAGCCTTGTCTTCTTGCTGGATACCCACAAGACAAACTCACAGGACAAATGGTCTTTTTTTCTGTCTTCCTCCAGCAGTATTTCTCTCAGTGGTGTATCTATAGGTAGATTGCTGTAGTAGTAATTGGTCAGGACAGAATCACAGTAAAACCAGGTTAAGCAGTTTAGTGGCCAGCAACAACTAATTGTGAATGACAAGATTATTACAAGATCTTGTAGTTACTGGATTTACACGTTCAATCTCCCACATATTACAGTTACTTTAGCTTTGCGCTTTATTTGTACAGATGGGCTGCTTAAAGGGGATTTTATCTTACACTCTCCAGTAGGTTAAAACAGTTTGTGCTTCAATTTGTTAGTTTTTTACTTATTATATCTCTTTTTGAGATTAATTATTACTTATGTGTATTTGTTTTCACATGTACATATTTTTCTTTTGAGCATGAGACAGACAAGACTTTTGTGGGCTTGTGTTTGGCACAATAAAATTTTTTTATTTTACTAGAAAAGCTGCAGAGGGCAGCAGAGATCTGTGGAAGGAAAAAGAAAAAGAAAAAAAAACTCCCAGCTGATTTGCTGATGCATGCTGGCTAAAACGGAAATATGAGACTTTGTTTACCAACCCTAATAGCCATAATGTTATTAACAGATAGTCACAAGCACTCACAAACCTTATATAAACTTTTTTTTTTTTTTAATGAACAGTTGGATCAGTTGTGTCATTGATTGTTAGGGGTTCAAGCATGAAGCACTGAAACCGATTGTATTTGTAAGGATTTTTATTGTGAAACCCTGTTTTATTTGTAAGGATTATTATTCTTCTGCCCTAAAACTGATCATGCAGACCAAACCATAAGGCCTAGAGATTTGAAACTTGGCCAGATGGTACAGCACAGTTTGGGGATATACTGGCAAAGACTCTCCCCAATCGGCCAATAGGGGGCACTACAGTGAGCAAAAACGTTTGTCGTAGACTCATGTGTCTTATTTCATTGGAATCCTTGGCTCAAGATAAGCATAATCGCTTCTGTCATGAAAAATTTTCTGCCATTTTGAATTTTTCACAAAGCTTAATTTTGCAAACCAGTCCTAGGTTTTTTGCCCAATCAGAACCAAACCAGTGCAGAAAAGTTCTCTGGAGTCTGAATAGCAAAAGTTATCAAAAGAAAAAAAAGGGGGAGCTTGACCACTTGGTGGCATTATAACAGGAAAAAAACATGAAAATGGCTGTATTTATGCAAACATTAGTCCAACTGACATGTTTTTATTACCCATTAGACAAGGTTAACAGAGGCCGATCGGAACAAAACTCAATGAGCCTGTTTGACTCATGGCCCTTGATGTCTGTGAGAAATTTGAAAGAAATTGGCCACTGGGTGGCGCTATCATGTTTTATGCCTTGCAGATGTTTCACAAATACTATATTCATATCATAGATTTTCTCATTCTGAACAACTTTGCCTATAGAACCACTGCTATCAAACTGTTTGTTAAATATTTGACATTATGTAAAAAAGACACTTTTTCAAACTCGTCCTAGACAGTTCATCTGATTTTCACCAAAATTGATATAGACCATCTTCCGATGGTCCTAACAAAAAGTAATCAAAAGCTTTTTGATAGAACCATTGTCGAATAACGCACAAATACATTTGACGAAGAGCTCGCAAAAGTGGACATGAGGCTATATCTCCTCAATGTTTTATCGTTTTAATACCAAACTTGGAGTTTATGACAACCATGTCCTGAGGTTACCTGCACAGTTTCGGCACAGTGCCACCTAGTGGTTAGGAGATATGAAAAATGCCAAAATGGATCTAAGGCTGTATTTCTACAATGATTTGCCACATTGGCACCAAACTGTGTGTGTTATTGTCACCCCTAGTTAACCACACCACATCAATTTGACTGTTCATGTTAACCCTTTCAGACACTTGTGTGGACTGTGAAGATCATATTAGTAAGACAATGATTTTGTCAACTTTTAATTTATGGTTTTCTTGAAATATCCATATGTATTTAAATATTTAGCTATTAAAATAGCTGCTAGAAGTTAAATGTTTGCTATAAATTATCGTAAACTTTTTATTTTTTATTTTAAGGGCTGCATTTAGAGTAGAAATAGATAAAGCATGAACATATTTTTGTGTCACTGAAATGTAATTCAGATCTGAAAGGGTTAATTTTTTCAAGGGATGGCAAAAGTCCTCTTCAAGTTCTTTTCCAAGCATATTAGAAAAAAAATGTCACTGTTCACCTTCCGCTTTTGTCCTCTTTTTTAAGATTCGTCTCCTGAAGGACAATGATTCAACCCTCAAACCCACGTTCATTGTTAAACCGGACAGTGGATCCCAGGGCGACGGCATCTACCTCATCCGTGACCCCGCTGATCTTCGGGTCATCTCAGGTGCTCAGATCAAACAAGCAGTTGTTCAAGACTACATCCAGAAACCCCTGCTCATCGATAAACTGAAGTTTGATATCCGCCTCTATGTTCTGGTCCGCTCATTGGAGCCTCTAGAGATCTACATCGCTAAAGAGGGTCTGTCCAGGTTCTGCACAGAACCCTACCAAGAACCCAGCCAGAAGAACCTCAGTCATGTTTTTATGCACCTTACCAACTACTCCCTTAATGTGCACAGCGGAAACTTTGTCCACTCCGACAGCTGCAGCACGGGCAGTAAACGCACCTTCTCTAGCATTCTCTATCGCCTGGCATCTAAAGGAGTGGACATCAAGAAGGTCTGGTCAGACATTATTGCTTTGGTTATCAAGACAGTAATTGCACTTGTGCCTGAACTGAAGGTGTACTACCAGGCAGATATACCACCTGGAAAACCAGGACCGACATGTTTTCAGGTATATTTACAATGAATTAATTTGTGTGTGTGTTGTGTTTGGCATATAGGTGGCCTGCATCACTATGGTCAGTCAAATGAGAAAAATGAGCACAAACCCATATGCTGCTAACTTTGTTTTTCCTTCACCAGGTGACCCCTAATGCTGTGCATTTCATTGTTTTTCAAAGTCAATAAATAATAAATAACAGAAGATGATGTGTCACAATTTTAGATCCTGGGCTTTGATATCCTGCTGACGAAAAACTTGAAGCCTATATTACTAGAGGTCAATGCCAATCCCAGCATGAGGATTGAACATGAACAGGAGGTGAGGGTGCAGATGCTCTTTTAGCGTGATGTGATTCAAATAAACCGGTACCTTAAAAAATGTACTGTGGCAGTACTAAAGATAAAGATATCTTTGATATATTTTGATATTATTATTTAAAAAATCTTGTGTGATATAACTTGTGTTTGTTTGTTTGCTGGTTTTTATTGTATTTGTTATACTTGTATTTTTTTAAATAGTTTTTGCCATGAAAATAGCCTTTGATGCTGACATGGCATTAAATAAATATATATACTATACTATACTATTCTGATATTATTATTTAGGTGGTTATTTATTTCAAAAATACCATTGTACATGTCAAAAAGTGTTTAATATATAATAATAATAATAATAAATACATGGTATTGCCACAGTACATGTCCAAAAAACATGATGCTACCATAGTATACACTACTCTTCAAAAGTTTGGGGTCAGTAAGATTTTTTTTTTTCAGGAAAGCTGCGTTAAATTAATCAAGTGACTACAAAGACATTTATAGTGTTACAAAATATTTGCATTTCAAATAAATGCAGTTCTTTTGAATTATTTGATTCAGCAAAGAATCCTGAAAAAGGGTCACGGTTTCCACAAAAAGTCATTGAATGCCACAAAAACATTGATAATAAGAAATGTTTCTTTAGCAGCAAATCATCCTATTAGAATGATTTCTGAAGGATCATAGGACACTGAAGAATGGAGTAATTGCTGCTGAAAATACAGTTTTGCCAGCACAGGAATAAATTACATTTTAAAATATTATAAAATATAAACGTATTTTTAAATTGCAAAAGTTAATTTAGATTATAGATTATAGTAATATTTCACATCATTACTGATTTTTTAAATGTATTTGTGCTCAAATAAATACAGCCTTGGTAAGCGTAAGAAACTTCTCTCAAAAAGATTAACATTTGGTCTTTCTGACTCTAAGCTGATAATGACTACATTTGTGTTTACAGACTAACAGGGATTTACAGACTAAACATGAGTCTGTTACGATGCTGATCGTTGCCACCATATGTTGCAGGTGTCACCTGGTGTGTTTGAATATGTACCGAGTCCAGTAGATGAAGAGGTGAAAGTGGGTGTGATCAGAGACACGCTGCGGCTCATGGACCCCGCTCAGAGGAAACAACACGCAACGTGAGTTGTAGGCTTTAAGGCATATGGGACAGTTGATGATGTGTTTGTGTGCATGTGCGCATGCCTACCAGTGTGTGTTGTCATCCGCGCCTCAGCTTTGTGGAGCTGAAATAATGGCCTGCTGAGCTGCAGTTATAAGCCTTTCAGACGGAGTAATTAAATTCAGGAAGTCCAGTGATGGAATTTCACACTTGTGTGGCCACTCTTCCTCTATCTCTCTCAGTCATGGAAATGCGGACACTCTCATGCCCCATGAGCAAGTTTGTGTGTCTCATGCGTTCAGCTTTTATTGCTGCTCATTGTACACAGACACACTTCAGTGTCTGGGCCTGGAGGGAAATAAAAGTCAAGCAGCCACCACAAGTCATTTCTGCTTTTAAATGAGCACTGGTAATATTCTTTGTGATGGTGCATTAGGTTGGGTCATGCTAGCATCGTTTTCTTGGAGGAACGTATGAAATGAATAATGCATGCCAGGCCGTGCTTCTCCTAATCAAACGAGAGAATGAATATATACTTGAGTCTCTGTGCTCCTAAATGGCCAGAGTGGAATGATGTGAGCTGAATTCTGGAACGTTTCGGAAGGTTGCACTGAATTTGGTCATTAGCGCCTCGCAGCAGGGTATCAACACACATACTCACAGAAGACAGACTGTGTGGCGAGAGGAAAGTAATAACTGGTGGATAAGGTTGATGCTTATAAATAATAGAAGTGGCTGCTTAAAAGGAGGGAATCGGACTGTTTGTCCCCGAGGAGGAAGAGGAGAGAGAGCGCTGCCATGCTCTTCATTAATAGTAATACATTTACTTTTGAGGAATGATGACTTGACACTCGGACAGAATGCCTAAAGACGGAATCTTTACCCTCCTGTCCATCCCAGAGTTCAGTCTGCTTCATTTGACATGATAATGCTGAATTCTTTCAGCGCTCCTCATTAGTCTGCTTAATGAAACCCATTTCCTCCTTCTGGAGAACAGCATTGCTTATTAATTGTGGCCATCCGTTCTCAATGTACACATATTTCTGACCAGCGCAGCAGGCCACCTCGCTTTTCTCTCTAGATGTTTTTCACGGCTCCATCTTGGCCGCAGCGAGGGCTCATTAGCGCTCCGTATATGTAGTCAGACAAGTGATCTGCATCCACTTTCAGACTCAAACCCCCTGAGGGTCTCAGGGACCCTTAATATCAAGTGCCTTCCTGTTGAAATGTGCGGAGAGAATTTCACTGCTCTCTCTCTCTCTCTCTCTCTCTCTCTCCAAGTTTTTCTCTTTAGAAAGAAGCCGTCAGTATTTCTCTCCCTCAGCTCTCAGGTTTAGACATGACCTTGAGAAATTTGCCGCTGATGATTTGAGCTTGCAGATGACGTTTTTAGCAGGAACATAAATGTACTGTAATTACGTTTTCATCAGCGTGGAGATACGACTGCGCTAAATAACACAGATGAAGCCTTATTAATGAATAAACAAGCAGAAGGGAAAATCTGCCAAATGTACAATTCTGAATGTAACCTCTTAAAGCTCAGAAATAATGTCACTAATTGCGTTTTCTTCAAATCTCTCAGTATACTATTTAAATAACTGCATGTATTGTCTTGGTTTATATGGAATTACTATTGCTCGAACTGTATACTCATAATATTGCTCAAATAACTCACTTCATGTAAATTTCAGCTGTAGTTGGCAGATAAAATTGGCAACAAAGTCCCATAGACTTAAATTAAAGGAAGGATCTGATATCAGAGTCCCTGTAAATCCGGCTTGAAATTTTACTTCACCTACAGAATTTTATAAATGTATTGTTGTTGATATTATTGCAAATGCATGTTTAATTTTTTACCTTGTAATTCTTAAGAATGTCATAACTCGATCATCTGGTGAATTGAGATTTCTCTCTTCTGACGTATGCCTGACTTCTCCTCTATGCAAGCTGTCATTCATCTCATTTTTGAGTGCAACACCCACATCTCAAAATCCAATCAGCAACTGATGAATAAGTTCCTGCTCTACATTTTTTCACTAAACTATTACACTTGATTGTGTCACAATATGAAAGAAAAGATCTATCGACACTTCCATTTCATCACTGCGCCAGTAGAATTTTTATCTACTTGACTGGGGAAAAAAATGAAATCGGCAATGCTCCAGTAACCCCAAAAACAGAAGTAAATACAATCTGATAACAATGGTATCATAAATTGTGCTGCTTTTAACTCAAACTCAAAAAGATTTGCATAACGCTGCCCAAATGTTCACGCAAAGAAAGAAGGCGTAACTTTTATTCTCGCTGTAGTACGGCTTTCACCGTGGACGAAGCGGGGTCCAGCCCGGGGTCGTCACATGTGGTTGCCGCAAGCCCACCGGACGCTCCTTTGTCGAATCAGCTGGCCGCGCCGTTCTCAAGCCCGCCCGCCTCCACTCACTCAGGCCCGCCAGCCTTCACTCACATGCAGACATGGTTTTATGTTTACGCGGCGCGATGCAACGCAACGCGTAAAAAGACAGTATAAGTCATTATCATCCGTAATTATGTCCCCACTGGATGCAACATGCCTCGTTTGTAATGGGTTTTCATGTTTTTGAATCGTCACTCTGGCCAGACAGGGCATCACAATATGGTAGGGGCGTAACATTTCCGTCACACACTTGAGGAATTCGGCCAATCACAACGCACTGGATAGCTGGCCAATCAGAGTACACCTCGCTTTTCAGACTGATGAGCTTTGTAAAAATCGACGTGTTTCAGAAAGGCGGGGCATAGAGGAGAAACAATAATGTACAGTATGTGGAAAATAATGTGTTTTTTGAACTTTAAACCGCATAAACACATTTCATTACACCAAATACACAAAATAATGTTCTTTTTAGCAGCATCATATGACCCCTTTAAGAAAGTGATTGGTTCTTTTTGAGCATCAAGTAAAACAAAGCTCTCTCTCTTTCAGGAATGTGTCTTCAGGCGTTTATTGAGGCCTTCTTTTACCTGGCAGCACGCAGGTTCAAGGCTTTACCTCTGCGGGAGCAGGTGCTCTTGCTGCTGGAGGTGTGTGAGGGGGCCCTCGAGGGCCAGAGCCACAGTGAGAAGCCACGGCCACACCGATCGCACACAAACACAAACCCCGCCTCTCAAACATCAGCGCCAACCACGTTCAGCTCCCCTGCACTAACACGCCGACGCCACCGGCCGCTGCAACTCTCTGCTAAAGCAAACACAGAGAACTGACAATCTCACACATGCAAACAAACACTTCCATGTCTTCTGAGGAACTTCCAGAGCTTTTGAATAAATAAACAAAGAAGGTAGAATAATGAACCAAATTTCATAACATATAGAAGCCAGGATAGAAGAGGACCTTAAATCATTCACTCTTAGCTCTGTGCAATATAGCTCAAGTTGAATTGTTTATACACAGCTCAGATAAAGATATTTCTTTCACCACACTACACAGACAAAAGTAACTGAAGATGTTCATGTGTGTGTGTGTTCTGATGCCAGTACACTGATACTCAAGACACTTGTTTCAGTGCTAAATGTGCGGACAGCATGTGCACGAGCATGTGACTTGTCGCGTTGCTCATACAGTATGCTTACTTTCAGGTAATATGGGTAGTATTTGTGTTAATCAATCACTGCAGGGATTAATGTCACGAGATTCAGTGTTTCTTAAAGGGACGAAATGTTGTCATAACTTCAGAAAAGCAGCTAATTTTCTCAACTGGCCACCTTGAACTGACTAGGCAGAACAACACGGTGGCCTTTTGTTAGGAAATGGTGTTAACACCAGGACATGGCACCAAGTGCACTCAAAGTTTACTGAGTTGTTTTATTTATACCCGTAGAGATTTATTATTTATTGTTTTACACTTAACTGAGTCATTCTCTGTAGCTTTGAACTGACTGAATTGCTCTTGCATGTAGAAATTATGACAGAAGGGGAAAAAAGGGGGTTTGCTGTGGTTTAATGCAAGTGGACATCTCACAAGATTAGCACATATTTACACAGATCATTTAACCCTCATTTAATATCACATTGCAACTGCAGGCATCTACATATACAAATTAGGCTCGACTGAGATGTATTTTTTATGGACATGTTGAATAAACATTGCATTTAAAATATTATTTTGTATGTTTTTACTTTTTCAGTTACATACGCACGCACACACATACACTACCATTCAAAAGATTTTTTTTTTTTTATATTTTGAAAACACGTCTCCAGTTCTTAGCAAGGTATTTTTATTCCCGATGACAAAGCTAAATTTTCAGCAGTCATTATTACTCCAGTCTATAGTGTCCTTCAGAAAGCATTTTAATACGTTGATTTGGTGCTCAAGAAACATTATTTTTAACAATGCTGAAAAGTGTTGTGCTGCTTATTTTTTGTATTTATATACATAAAGGGATATTTATATACATATCTGGGATCAGTTGTACATAATTAAAAATTCTGTAATGATCTTAACAGCACAATTTTTGTAGGCTATGATTGACTCGTGTAATTTATTTGTAATACTGCCCATAAGACGTTGGATTTTGGGATCAGAAATGGACCATCAGTAGGTTGACCATATCCAAGCACATTTCATTGATCTTGACCTCTCACATTACTCTTGTCAACTGTTTTGAGTAATGAAGACAACAAAGCAGGCATATGAAATAACTAAATAAAACTTTAATTATTCTAGTTGCAAATGTACATAAATTGCACAGCCACAATTGTATAGTTCTTAACATGGACAAATTTCTCTGTACATTATTGTTCTTGTCATTGTCCTAAAACAAGGCAAGAGTCCAGCCAATACTTTACTTTAAACATACTTACAAAAAATCTTTTCTACAAGGATTATAAAACATACAACATATTTTAGGTATTCATTTATAGATTTGTATATCTTTATATCATTTATTTCACATACATGTAGCTACTATTTCACATTGACTGCTTGGAGAAGAAAGAAAAAACAAAACAAAACTAAAAAAACCTAAACGATGCACAAATAGTTTTACTTGCAAAAGTTTCCTAAA